CTGGCTCCTTGCACTTGTAGCAATGAATTTCCTTTTTGCCTCTAGACTTCGATCTGGAATTTCGCCTTCCAGATCCCTCCTTCTCTTTCTTCCTTCCACGATTCTGCTTACTCTTCACATATAAATTGTCACCGTGAGAGCTTCCCCCTGCATTCTGCTTCCGCTGGTTGTGAGCCAACAACGCTGCAGTAATCTCATCCACTTTGATAGTTTCTTTCTCATATGTCAGAGTAGTCACCAGGTGTTCAAAGGAAAAGGGCAATGAACACAACAAAATCATCGCTCGATCTTCATCCTCAATACTCACATCAAGCCGTGATAAATCAGTGATTATTTGATTGAAACCATTAAGATGCTGCGCCAGATCAGAACCTTCCTGCATCTTCAGTTTAAACACATAAGAATAGGATGTTAGGATGGCATGAATGTAAATATCCCAAAATCAAATATTGTACTACCTCCCAATGATTCCCATTCATCGTCAGTACTGTACTACGCTCCTTCAAAAGCTCGCCGAGCGGTACCGAGCTGAAGCGCCGGTACGTCCACGCATAAACCGTCTTCTCGACCCGGCCCACCCAGAGTACGGAGTAAACACTAAACAGCCCAACTTAAAACGGCCCAGTTGGGTCGATGTCTGGCCCGACAACGGCCCCTTTAAAAGCTCTTCGTGCCGCATTTCTCTCCTTCCTTCTTTCCCTCTCTATTTAAACTCGCGTGCGGAGGCTTCAACTTACGTCAATTTTGTGTCCTGCATCAGTTGGATCAGGTTCGGGCTTGGGACTGTAGAGGAGTTTAACATGGCTGAGGTAATTTCATCTCTTTCCGCCTTCTCTTCCTCGTCCTAGTTCTAAAACTTTTAGGGTTTGCGAATTCCTCATCTGGTTTCTTTTCTCATCGGATGATGCTCTCTTTCGTGAAGAACTCTTCTGATTGTGTCTTTTGACTTGATTTTTCTCTCTCTGCTTTTATGTTTTGAGCTCGGTATGTTGAATTTTGTTTCACATATTTCATCTTTTAGTTCTGATTTATTGGGGACATTCTTTTATGCAAGTAGATATTGTTTTATCGTATATTAAATTTGGATGCTCGCTGCTATTATGTGTTGTTGGGATATCTGGCAGTAGATCTTTATTATTGATGTACCTTACAGGCATCCAATCTTTTCGTTGGAGAAAAGGACTAACAGGAAGAAAGAAAAAAATTGTGGTGGTTTGTTTGAATGATTATTTTTCTTGTTCTGTGATTGAACATTAGTAGAATGATAGATTGACCGATTGCTTGTTGGGCGTGGTTTGGGCTTGTCGTATGCAACATTTTCAATTAATAGAATGCAAGTATGATTTATGGGATTGGAAGGATATACCAAGTCTTATTTTCCCTTATTTGGCGTAATTGGAAATTGGTAACTTTTTTTTAGAATTTTTTTTTATATTGAAATGAAATGTTAAGTTGTTAAGTAATGAGTTTTGGCTTTAGGAAATTGATACAAGACTTAATTACAGATTACAATAGTTTTTACTGAGCCTTCAATCTTAGGACTGCATGCCATTCACTACAGAGTGTATCAGTTTTTCTCGTTACTATATTTCTTGAATTCTATGGGTTTCTTTTGCTTCTATTTTGATCTATTCTTCTTCTTACTTGTGAGTTTATCTATTTTCTAAAGTCTCTCGACTTTTCCAATGCTTCTTGCCATTCACCTTTGAATAAACATACTACTTCCTAATAAATCCCTCAATACATTGAGCAACTTCTAAATCTCATCTAATACAGAGTTCCGATACACTGAAATCCCTAAGGGGAGAGCAAAAGCAGGAATATGAAATGGGAAAGGTAAATTCCTATAAACAAATATAAGTATGCAAAAACCTACCTCGTATGACACAATAGCATATGAGCACCCAACTAATCCCCGCTAGAAACTAACAAAAAAACAGTATAATCTATGTGAGGATTTCTATCAATTAATTTTTTTAATTTTCTATTACTTCATTTATTTCTTCGTTAAGGTGATCTTTAAGTATTTGTAATGTTTCATCTCTTTGGGTATATCTGATTCTATTGGTAAAATAGTCAATTGTAATTCTCTAAATCTATCAGGTAATTCTATTGCTATTTCAATATTGCTTTGATTTTTAAAATTTTTAATTCAAATGGGTAAAATGTTCTTCCCAGTAGGTTGAGCGTGTCGTAAACAATTCTTCTTAGATGCCTCTTACTTTGTGAACTCAAATATAAATATGTTCTCTTCATCTGAATTCATTTATTTCATAAGATATTGGAATAACATATACCAGTAAATTCCTATCTAGGTTTGGAGATGATGAACAGTAACTTGCCCTGTTAGGATTCAAAACCTTCCACCATGCACAGAAGTAGCCACAATGTGAGCTCAATCTAACTGGAAGGTTTTGAGTCCTAACAGAATCCTCCCGTCTCGACTTAGTTGTTTGAGGTTTGCTTTGTGCTATTCAAAAACTTACTAAAGTGTTAGAATCCTCCGGTCTCGACTTAGTTGTTTGATCTTTGCTTTGTGCTATTCAAAAACTTACTAAAGTGTTTGTTGGATTTGAAAGAATTATTGTAACGGTTCATGCCTCATTTATCATGGTAATGCTTGTCCTGTAGGCATTCTTATTGAGATTCTTATTGAGATACATACTGATTATATAAATTTTTGTTGGAACCTATCGATCACAGTTTTCGTGTTCTTGTTTCAACGAAAATCTATATTATTTTTAATTATGCCAAGATATCAAGCATTCATTTTAAAATTTTATTGTCATTGCTGCTTTTATTATTCTAATCCCTGTGTGAACTTACTATGTGCCTAATAACTTCCTTGAATTCCATTTGCACTTCTCTAGTTGAACTAGTTTAACTTACCATATGCCTAATAATTTCAATCAAACATATAGGAAGAAATTTATCTATGTTATTCAAACTATCTTTTAGTAAAAAAAAATCACCTTCTATAATTGTTTTTAGGGGAATTTACATACATAGCACAAAATTTTTATGTATTTACACATCTCACACCTAAATTTTCATATTTACATACATAGCATTTTGGTGCTTTAAACCTATGCATGAAAATGTGTATTTCATTTTTTTAAAAATGATAATAATGCTATTTTTGATATGATATTAAAGCTTTGCGTACTTTTTATGTAAATATAAAAGTTTAGGTGTGAGATATATAAATACACAAGAATTATGTGCTATGTATGTAAATACCCCCTTTTTTGACATTCTTACTGTTGTTTTGCTGCACATTTTCTGCAGACAGTTGTCCTCAAAGTCGGCATGTCCTGCGAAGGTTGCGTTGGTGCCGTCAAGAGGGTACTATCAAAGTTGGAAGGTTTTAACCCCACAAAACTTCTGTATCTGTTTCTACTATTATCAAGTTACAAAATTTCAATTTCCGTATGATTTTGATTGTTAATTTTCAGGTGTTGAATCATTTGATGTTGATTTGAAGGAACAGAAAGTAACTGTGAAGGGCAATGTGAAACCTGAAGCGGTTCTGCAAACTGTTTCCAAAACTGGAAAGAAGACTTCATTCTGGGAAGCAGAATCAGAATCAAAGGAAGCTGCTTTTAATACAGCAGCTACTGCAACCGCATGATTACATCACCTTCCAACCGGTTGCCTTATATGAAATAAAGGTCGGTGAAGCCTGAATTTCTCTTACAGGGTTTCAGGTATTGTTGTATATATATATTGTGTTACATTTTGAACTGCAATAAGCAAAGATTGGACTTTCGGCGTTTGAGATGAATGAAGCTGTGCAAAAATTTTCATTTGGGGCATTTACATAAATACCACAATTCTTTTGCATTTACATATCAAACACATAAGTGTATACTACTTAGATCTTTAACATCACATAATAAAATACTATCATCATGATCTTTTTAAGAGTATAATACACATTGTCATGCATAGGTTTGAAAATGTAAGCATCAAACTTTAGGCGGTAGCTATGTAAATACATAATAAACATTATGAGGTATAGATGTAAATTGCTCTTTTTCATTTTGGTATTCTGCCTGTTATATAATGTGAGAAGGATGATATATTATAGGATGCTAGGGTTCTTTTCATGTTAGGTTGAGACAGTGCACTAGATTCATTTATAGAATGTATCTTTTATTTGAATGTAAATGTAGATTATTTCCTGCATAATTGGTTTGAGATGGTTTTTTAAAATGGGAAATATTTATAATTGTGTTATTTGTTCTTGTGGTATTTCTTATATTTGCTGGACAAATGGGAGATATTGGCTTTACATGGCTTTCACTATATAAAACACTTGGGAGAAAAATGGAATCCCAGAACAAAAATTAAACAAAGAAGGGTGAGAGTGTAAATACATAGAGAAAAGAAGTAAAAGAAATGTTTTTTTGTAATTAGGGGTGTAAATGAGTTGAGCTTGAGCGAGCCAAGGCTCGGCTTGTGTTCGGCTCGTTAAAATAAGTCACTGTTTGTGTTCGGTTCGTTTGTTTAGTGAACCGAACACGAGCTATTTGCGAACAAGCCGTTTTGATAACCCTAATCACGCAGCTGTTAGATTCTAAGGGTAGGTGTGAGATTTAAATCTTATTATTGATATTAAAATATTCATTTAAAGAGAATTTAATATATTTTTATTATATTTTTTAAATTAATAGTTTTGATTGATTATAAATCTTTAAAGTTTTGTAGTCAATTAAATTATTTAAAAAATAGAACTCAATATTAATAATAATAATAATAATAATAATAATAATAATAATAATAATAATTTCAAGCCAAAAATGAGCCGAGCATAGACAAACAAATCTATATTTTTGTTCTGCTCATTTATAAATCAAGCGTAAAAAAAATTGTTTATGTTCAACTTGTTTGCTTAGCTAATAAATTGAATAAGAGTTACTTAACGAGTTGAACATAAGCTCTTTACAAATAATGAGCCGTTTTAACAGTCCTATTCTAACTTCCTTCTCTCTTTCTCTTCCTAGGCTATCGTAATCCTACCCTAATGCTAGGGGTGACAATCCGGGTCAACGGGTCGAGTTCTTGTCCGACTCAAAAATCGCCCAACTCGAATACGGTCAACTCAAACCTGACTCTAATAAAAAATGGGTTGAACACTAAAATTAAAGCCAAACTCTTACTAAAGTGAATATGAGCTAAAAAAATTCAATTTCATTTGTTAAAACCCACCAAAATCTTTAACTCATCAATTTTTCTTTTATAGGGTGAAGCCCACACTTTAACCTAAAATATATGTGGATGTGGCTCACTCTAACCAAAAACAATTACACCACTGAATTCCTTATATTTCACTCTACCAAATGAGCCAGTGTCAAAATTTTGGTCATAATTAACCTTAACCACATTATCATTTCAAATTGAAATAGCTTGAGCTTCAGACCATCTCACCCAAAAATAATTGAACCATTAGATTCCTTGTATTTTTCTCTTTCAAATCAACTAGAGTTGTATTTTTGGGTCCCAACAATCTCTCCCTTCCATTCGTCCATATAAGGTTGAGACTCTCACCATGTAAGGCAAGGAAAATTCATCCTCTAAGCAAGGCTCACCAATAAAATCCTTAATCAAAGGTATTAACCACTCTCTAAGTTTTGTGTAGATTAACTTGTGAAATTATGGTGAATTTTCTCTTTTTCATCTCATCTCTCCTATAGGCTTTCGCTTACTCCCTCTTCCTTTTGGCCATAACCGAGCCCCTCTCTCCTTAGCCCTTTTATTTCTTTCATGGCTTAACCTACATATACACTCACAATTCTGCTCTCACTTCTTCTTACCTTTACCATACTCGAATCCTATCACAATTTCTAACTCACTTCTTCTTGCCTTCACAATACCCGAACCCTACCACATTCCCTCACTCACTTCTTCTTGCCTTCTCCATACCTGAACACCACAATATTCTTTCTCTCTCTCTCTCTCTTTCTCTTCCTCGGTTATCTGAAACCTATTCTAAATTCCTTCTCTCTCTCTTCCTAGACTACCAGAACCCAACCCTAATGTCAGGGGTGACAATTTGGGTCAACGGGTCAAGTTTCTGTCCGACTAAAAAATCGCCCAACTCGAATAGGGTCAACTCAAACCCGACTCCAAACGGGTCGAACACTAAGATCTGAAAATCGCCAACCCAAATTCGACCGAACCCTACCTGAAATTTGGTGCTTATTTGGATCATGTTTTGATTTTCAGGTTTAACCTGAACCTAACTTGAATAATAAACGGGTCGAATTTTCTGACCCTAACCCAACTCAAAAAATATTTGGGTCAACCTTAACATGGATTTTTTAAGTCGAGTTTGAGTCGGGTTGGCATGTCAGATCAATTTTTGACACCCTTACCTAAAGTCCTCTCTTTCTTCTTCCTTCTCTAGCCGAAACCTACCCTTAATTTTCTCACCTTTTTCTTCACTTTCCCAAACCCAACCATAATCACTCACACTTCCCTCTCATCACTCTACCTGAAAACCTAAACCACTCATCCAATAATTTTCCCTCTCTAGCCTACTTGAAAACTATCACCCAAACTCCTAATCCTCTCTCCCTCTATAGCCTCCCTGAAACTCCGCTCAAAGTCCTAATCGTCTTTCCTTCTCTAGCCTACCTGAAGCCTCACTTAAGCCCCTCACATTCTCTCATTCACTTCCCTATCCAAAATCTTCCATCACCTAAACCCACACATCCCCCATTCTCTATGGCACAAATATAAGCCCTTACACATTTATATTATGCTTTGTTTCATCAAAAAAAAAAAAAAATCCATCCAAATCATGTGGTTTGTACTTATGTGCCAACTAAAGAGTAAATCCTATGTCTTATGCTATGTTTCATGCAAATAAATAATTCATTTGCTATGTTGTCCATGCAATAAGTGAATCCATGTGCTATGTGGTGTATATTTTATGCAAATATGAAAAATCATGTCTTATTTGGTGTTTGTTTCATGCAAATTCATGGGGCTTAGGTTTATTCCATGCAAATCTATGTGGTTTAGGCCTATTCTATGCAAAATCAATGTGGCTCAGGTTTATTCCATGCAAATTTATGTGGCTTAGGTTTATTCTATGCAAATTCAAGTGGCTTAGTTTTATTCCATCCAAATCTTTGTGGCTTAGGTCTATTCCATGCAAATCTATGTGCTTTAGGTATATTCCATGCAAATCTATGTGGCGTAGGTTTATTTCATGCAAATTTATGTGACTTAGATTTATTTCATATAAATCAATGTGGCTTATGTTAGTTTTTATAAAAAATCATGTGAATGTGCTTATGATCCATGCAAGTAGAAAATCTTTATATGGTAATTCATGTGCATGTTAAATACACATGCTCGTGGATTTATATTTTCCATGTCAAATATCTTTGCTTGTGCCTTTATACTTTCTATGCTAAATATACATGCTTGTGGTTTTATGTGCAATAGTTAACCTCCAATACTTGTGACTTCAGGTGCAATACTAAACATTCATGCTTGTGGCTTTATGTGCAATAGAAAACATGCATGTTTGTTGTTTTATATCATGTAAATTTTCATGCTTGTGGCTATATGTTTAGGCAAGTAAATTGTGATTTTATGGATTTTGGTGGAGTGCTTGCTTAGAATATCTAACTAAGTAAGTAAAAACAAAATTTTAAAAAAAAAATTATGCTTATATGCTTAGGATTGGCTACATTCATAAGTTAAGTAGTGAGATAGTGATTTTGAAAAATCTATATAATTGAGTAACATTAATTTAAAAGAAAATTTAATGAACTATTTTTATAATATAAATATAAATTCAACAAAACTATATATATATATAAAGATAATTTTTTTTAACAAAACAAGGACAAAACTCTTTTTTAAAAAGAAAAATTCTCAAAAGAAAATCTTTTCCAAAACTTAAATAAAAATTTTTCAAATAGAACTTTAACAAATTTTTTTTTTCAACAAGAAACTCTACTTTACAAATCCTAAAGAAAAAAAAATTCTCAAAAAGAAAAAGAAAATGTAAAACCAAAATACTCCCTAAGAAAACAAAAACAAATAATTTTCCTTAAGAAAAATATTTTTTTTCTTTAAAATAAAATTTAAAATAAACCCTTCTTTTAAATTAATGATACAAACAAAACTTAATTTTTTTTTAAATGGAACTCAAATAAAACAATTTCAAACATAAGTGAAATCTTTTCAAAGCAAAAATCTCTTGTGAGTTCACCAATGATACCAAAATTATATGACTTTTGCAAATCCTCTTTAATAGTTGCCTTATACAAAATGTGTACATGTTTATGGGATACATATACACTTCTCACATTAGGATTCACTCGCATGCTTAATAGTATCTTTGTATGACAGAAAAATTATTTTTATATAAATTGTCTTTTTCATGTGTGAAAAATTGAAAAATAAGCATGTGAATGGAACTTAAGCATGAAGAGTGCAAAAATGAAATGCTTGAATGAACCATTTTCTAGCTTGTAAGCTTTAATGTAGAATGGTAAACTAAGATTTGAGTTGGTTAGATCGATTAGAAAGGGCCAAGTAGAAGAGGTCGAATATTCTCTTGGTTGAGTTTTTTAATGCATTATATGTTGCTAGTCATATCTCTTTGATTCTATTCTTCTCTTTTGTGTTGCTCATCTTCTTATTTATGGCATTTTTCACGATGATAAATTCAAAAATAAATATGAATCACACT